CTTTCCCTCCTCTTCCCCTTCTTCCCTTTTTCATCACTTTTCTTCTCTCTTACTATTTTCCTTTTCCTTCTCTTTCTCCCTTTTTTAACCCTCTTATCCTTTTTCCTACTCTCCCCTTCTTCCTTTTTTAATCCTTCTTCCCCCTCTTATCCCTTTTCCTCCCCTCGCTTTCTCCCTTTTTTCACTCCTCTTGCCCTTTTCCCTCCCCTCCCTTTCTCCCTTGTTTCACTCCTCTTGCCCCCTTTTACCCCTTCTCCCTTTTTCATGTTCCTCCCCCCCTTTTTTGCCCCTTACCCCTTTACGCAAAAATCCCCTTCCCCTTCTCCCTTTTTCACCCTCCTCTCCCTTTCTTACCCCTTGCCCGCTTACGCAAAAATTTACGTGTTGGTAGTGGCCCCCTTATCCCTTGCCCACTTACGCAAAATCCCCTTTCCTCCCTCCCATTCTCCCTTTTCACCCTCCTCCCTTCTTCCCCCTTCTCCCATTTCACCCCTCTTGCCCCCCCCCTCTTGCCCCTTGCCCTTGCCCCTTACGTAAATTCTCAGCCGTGATTTACAAGCGTCGGTAGCGCACCTACACCAGACAGTGTGAAATGCAAGGAAAAGTGTTTTTATCGCAGTTACCCCTTTGGTACCGTCGTATAAGTGAGCCAGGGGGGGTAGGGGGAAGGGTACATACACGTGATAAGGGCTGATAATCGGAGTGGAAAAAGAAAAGGGGCTTAGTGATAAGGGCGACTGCTATATGCTGATGTCAATTTTTTTTATTTTTTTATTTTTTTTTTTTTTAGGGTGATGTATGGGTCTTGCTCATTGCTCTGTTGCTCTTCTTTCTCTTCTCTCGTTTTCGTTCGTTTCTTGTTGTTGTTTTTTTTACTTCTTTTTGCTTCTGCTTCTCGTTCGTTTTCGTTTGTTGTTTGTTTGTTTATTTCTCCGAATATTATCGTTTTGGGTTACTTTTTTCACTCTCTTCAGTCCACCTCCCTTCTCGCCAATTTCTCTCTCTCTCTCTCTCTCTCTCTCTCTCTCTCTCTCTCTCTCTCTCTCTCTCTCTCTCTCTCTCTCTCTCTCTCTCTCTCTCTCTCTCTCTCCTACTTCTCTCTCACTCACTTCTCATCTCACTCACTCACTCTCACTCACTCACTCTCTCTCTCTCTCTCTCTCTCTCTCTCTCTCTCGTCTCTCTCTCTCTCTCTCTCTCTCTCTCTCTCTCTCTCTCTCTCTCTCTCATCTCTCTCTCTCTCATCTCCCATCACAGTTCCTTCTCCCTCTTCTTCCTCCCTACACCAACCCCTTCCCTCTCTCTCAACCCGCTCCTCCACTCCATCTCCCCCTCTCACACTTCATCTCACTCCTTCACATCCATCTCCCCTCTCACTCTCTCTCACAATTCTACTACCCTCTCCCCCCTTTCTCTAGCTCTTGTCCTCCTTACCTTCTCACACTTGTCACTTCTCACTCCATCTCCCTCTACATACTCTGCCGCTGCCATTTTCCTCTCCCAAACCCCTTACCCCCTCTCCCAACCCGCTCATCTCTCTCCTCACTCCCTCTCCACACTTTGCTTCCCCTTCTGCCCCACTCTACCTACCCTCTATCCTTCTTTCTCCCCCTCTCTCACTCTTCCTGCCTCCATCTCTTCATCCTCTGCCTTCCTATATTCTCCTTCTCTACTCTCCTCTCTACATATTTGGTACGTGAATACTTTGTAGTTCATGCAAAATTAACAGGTTCTTTAGATAATCCCAGTGATGAAAGAAAGAAATCAAATTATTTTAAAAGTTAACCATGACTCTGACATCCCTTACAAATACCCCACACATACACCCGCTTACATCCATATCTCACGCGCTACCCACAATATACACCGTACGCGCAACACACACACACAAAACCATGGTCCCCCCCCCCTCTCTCCTCCTACCCATCCTCTACACAATCCACCCACCAACAACACAGATCTAAACCACTAGTTACCATCCACACCACACCCCTCCTCCTACACTCACTCCCACACCTTACCCATCTCTCCCCCCTCCCTCACCCACACACTCCTCCCCCCCTAACTCAGACCCTCCCTCCTACCCACACACCCCACTGCCTCCCCACCCTCCCCCACACACTCCCTCCACCCTCATCCTCCCTCCCTCCCCTCCCAACACCCCCCCCTCCTCGCCAACACCTCCAACCCATCCACGTTAACATCCACAGCCGAATAACTCCCTTCGCTCGGCGTCCGTGCGCCGTGCAAAAGAACACACAATCTCTCTGTGCCGTCGTGTCCCGCGTCGACCTCATTCCCGCAGCTGAGCCCAAGCAAAATTTCCTCTTCCCATCCTACTGTCCCCTTCTTCCTGCGCAACCATTTAGAGACTGCCAAACTTTCCTCCCCCCTCTGCTCTCTTCTCTTCCTTATCCCTCCCCCCCCTTCTGTCTCTCCATCCCTCCCCACCCTCTCCCACCCCTCTCACCAAACTCCCCCTCTCTCTCCTTCCTCTCCC